TGCCAAGGAGACCAGCTCCCTTTCCTGACCCAGTTTCTCTCAAAACCCATGAGCCTGAGTGGCATCAACCGAGATCGCTTCCTCTTGGGCTGGAAGAATGCAGTTGGGCAGGCCATACTTAATGTTTTCCTTCTAGCCCTACAGGTAGTGTAGGAATGTCCTCAAAACCAGCATTCCTTGAATTGTCAGGTTTAAAGGAACAGGGCTACCCTAGTGGTGTCTGTAAGAAAAAAACCCAGGTGCCTGGTGATTTGGTGGAAAACCAGTGCCATCTCTGAGAATTAGGTGTTGTTTTGGTCCTGAAGGCCATCGGGCAGGGGGCTGAGCCAGAGGGAGGCTGCCGGGGTGCAGGAACTGCTCTGGGAATGGCTGTCACTTGCTCAAAGAGTAGACACAATTGCCATTAAAATCCAAGTGAGGAGGGCTGCAGCTTTTCACACGTCTCAAACCTGGAAATGCGAACATTATGTTTCTGATCTCTGCCTCGAGGACATTGTTCAGACATATGGACAGACTTGCTGGGAAATATGAAACAAGGCTCAGCTTGAATCGTGGGGAAGCCCTCTGCCTCCTGTTCCAGCTCTGCTCTCGGGAGGGTTAGAAGCAACTGCAGCATGAGCTGACGAATAGCTAAAATTGAACCGAGCCCTGCAGAACTGTGTCCTTGCCCAGTGTTATGTTCCACGAGGCTCATTGGCCCTTTTAGAACAGAAAAATCTAGCATTGTGTTCACAGTCCAGATAGCCTGGAGGCATCCTTTGGTCAGCACAGAATAGAGATCCTACAAGAGAGATCTTGATTCACACGGGCTAGGGCGGGACACGACGAGCTCTCGGAGCAGTGAGCACGAGTGTATGCGGGTGTTCGCAGAAAGCCACGAAAGGGCTCTCTGAGAAGAAATACAGCAGACCTGACAAATTATTCATCTTTAGTTGGTTGGGCAGTTGGAAGTGGATAAAGGCTGCCTGACCAGCTAGGAGATTATACGTCCAGACAAAAAATCATAATTTGGTGGAAGGAACACAGCAAATGAGGTCAGCTAGTCTAAGAGTGAACCCTGGAGATTATACATTCCAACTGGACAAGTCCATCCATCACCTTCTTCAAGAGTGCGTGTCCTCGTTAAAAGGAAGGGATGATTCTGCTGCCCACAGTTGTTGGGAGACCAACAGCAGTCACATATAGGAAAGTGCCTGGATAAGGGATTCATCTGTGAAAAAAAAATGTGACTTAAACCATGGAATCTTTTGAATTATTTTTGGACAGGAAATAAATCAGAAGTAACTGCTACCAACTTCAGCCAGACAGGAGGGCAGCAGCTACAAGTCACAATTTGTTGTTGCCGCTTTGACAGCAGCCAGCTGTGCTCCCTATTTTTGTGAATTATTGATTCCTGGAATCTTATCTTTTGTGTCATTTTAAAATAATTTCGTTTTTATTTGCTATTTCCAGGAGAACCGTAGAGCTGGCTATTAAAATTCAGTCTCCTCTAACCTTAGGAAATCTTTCTACAGAAACAGATTGCTTTGCACTGTAAACCATGCCTTATCCTCCCATCCTGAAGCGTTCAGACAGAGAGTCTAAGGCCCAGAGAGCGGAGCCTCTGACAACGACCGTGACCATGAGATTAGTGAGCTGATCTGCCAATCTGCTCTGGTTGACGTCCAACTCTGACGTCTTGGTCACTGTAGTACCAGTGACCATCGTTGGCATTTTTTGGTGCCAGTCAGCCTTCCCTCCCTCCTGGGTTCTGGCTGTGGAGCGGACATCCAAGAATCAGAGGCCGACGGAGCAGTGAAGAACTCCACTAATAGATTTGATCTGCTCCACACACGGTAGAAACGATAACATCCTATTTGCTTTTGAATCTGCTCACGGAAGTCCCACAAGACGTGCAGCCTCTCCCGCTGGAGGACCTTCCATTCCACCTCCGGGTCCAAGAATGGGGCTTCCTCAGCCCCTAAGTGGGGCAGGCCTCGCTCCAACCTGAGACGGGCGCTCGCCTCTCACGGCCACACGGTGTCGCCATTGCAGCTTCGTCCTGCCCGGCCCCATCAGCCCAGCCACCCTGCAGCCCCCCCCAGCACGGCCCGTGGGCAGGAGACCGGGCAGGGCGTGAACCCCAGAATTAAAACCCTCTCTGCTGACACTCGCCGCGCCTCACGGCCGGTTCTGACTGGCTTCCCAACTCAACCACGCAGTGTGTCTGAACCCGTCGTTTCACTTATTCGACAAAATGCTAACCCTACTATGCGGCAGGCACCGTTGTAGGGGTTTGGGGTATGTCAGCGAACAAAGCAAAGATTCTTGCCGCCCTCAAGGAGCTTGGGGAGCATCTCTCAGTCCTCCTCTGAGGCCTTACCTGAGCCCAGGTCACCCGCAAAGACTTCTCCTCCCCTCCGGATGAGTGCTGACTTAGGGGGACGGAGTGCTCCCTCACGCAGTCTGAACCGGCTTCTCCCCACGCACCATCAGGGTGCGTGCCCGATGGGGGCTGGGTTTACTAGGCTACATACACGCAAGCACGCACGCGGACATGCACGCACGCACACACACCCCTTCTATAGTGAATTAGGACTCACAACTCTACTTGTATAGCCGACTGCCGTGAAAGTGATCCTTCCGTGGACTCAGGTCATTTCAGATGTGAGAACTGTATACGCTACACGACCTCGCTGAAAACTGAGACTCTGTCCGGCCTACGGGATGCGAGGAGGAGTACATCAGATGTCCTCACTGGACCATAAACACCCGAGGGCCACTTTCGTTCTCTGCTACATCCTCAGTCCTTAAAACAGCGCCTGGCACATAGTAGGTCCATTGTGCCCCTGCACACGTACACACACACACTCACACTCACATACACACGAGGGAGTGAGCCTGCAGAGTGTCATCTCGCTGAACACTAGTCCCCTTGCTTCGGTCCCAGAACGTGTCGCGGCCCCTCTGGTGTGCGGCGCACCACGCGGAGCAGTGCACACACGGAATCACTCGGGATCTGCAGATGCGAGTTCAGTCAGTCTGGGTCGGGGGCCGAGATTCTGCATTTTAACAAACCCTCCTGAGCAACGTCGCTGCTTCCAGTCGGGACCTCGCTTTAAATTGCAAGCACATTTTTTTTCCTCTTTAAGCAAAGTTGCAACAAAATTCTGGCCCCTTTCCTTGTCGTGTAGCTGTGGGAAAGAGGCAGTGGGTGGGATGTTGATATGCCTCATTTCATGGGAGCTAAGACGCCATCGATTATAAAATACAGCCTGATTGCAGAGATTTTTAAATTATGGGAAAAAAGTGCATCTTAGAACCTATGAAATAAGGCATTTGGGGGGACTGTGGAGCCCCAAGTGGTGACGTGCTTGGTGACGTGCTTGGTGTCTGGAGTCAGACGGCCCCGCCATCCTTACCTTTGTGACCCTGAGTGACTGACTTAACCTCTATAAAATTTAATTCCTCACCTCGACAATGACAGTAACCCCCAGAGCTGCCTGGTGAAGAGTTTTGACCCAGCCAGCTTGATATTTTAAATCTCTGCCTAGTGAAATAAAAATCCCCAAACTGACCCCTTGTGTATTTCCTTCAATATTTCATACTTCTCTGAAGTAAAATAACTGACCACAAAAAATAAACCCGCTGTACAAGTTTTAGTCTTCACACTCTGCCCTGTGTAGCTCTGAATTTTTGACTATTTTACAAGAGTGTAATTATGTACTGCTTTTATAGGAATGCAATAAAATAGAGTAAAAAATAAGCCCACCTCTTTGCTTGAAGTGTCCGTCGATTTTTTTTTTTTTTTTTTTTTTTGAGGAAGATTAGCCCTGAGCTAACATCTGCTGCCAGTCCTCCTCTTTTTGCTGAGGAGGACTGGCCCTGAGCTAACATCCATGCCCATCTTCCTCTACTTTATATGTGGGACGCCTACCACAGCATGGCTTGCCAAGGGGTGCCATGTCCGCACCTGGGATTCGAACCAGCGAACCCGGGCTGCTGAAGCGGAACATGCGCACTTAACTGCTGCGCCACCAGGCCAGCCCCATGTGTGTTGATTTTTATGGAGGGCATTGGCAAACCTTCGAGAAGCTGTCGGCACAGGGGGTGCTTGGTGAATATTGCATATTAATGTGTCTGCCTCTGCAAGGCAGGCTCTTCTCTCTCTCACTGCTGTTTCCCAGCACCCAGAAACGTGCTTAGAAAGTGGTGGGGACTCAGTGCACACTTAATGAATGAATGAATGACTTGATGAATGAGTGAACCTCAGACTGGCTCTTGCAGCCGGCCGCATGGAGGAGTGAGGTTGGGGAAGGCTGTAGCCGGCATGGCTGGCGTTTGGCGCAGAGAACCAGGAGGCCCGCAGCTGAGGAGGGCAAAAGGTTTGAGTTGCTAAACCAACCCCTGGACAAGCACTGAGAGAGCTCTTCAAGCCAGGCGCAGAGCGAGCTGTCTGCTTCAGGAGCAATGTCAGGTCCTCAGAGTCCTTCTTTGCCCACAGTCCTGAGTACTGTTTGAGGTACCATGGCAAATAAAATGGTGGACTTGTGGCGCTTGCTCAAAGGAAGAGGACATACTGAGTTCTGAGTTCAGCACAGCACCAGGAAGCATGGGCAGGAAGGAGAGGCCATGGCCCGTGGAGTCCTGATAGCTATCAGACTGAGGGCTGCCCCTGGCTGCTCCCCGCACCATGGGGTTGCTCCAGGAAAACGGAGATGTCAACTTGCCCTGGGGACATTCTCACCCACGCATACCTGAGAACGGAGGTTGAAAAAAAAAAATGCTCAAGACTCTCCAGCATTCCTCTTCTCCATCTTTTTCAGTTCTCGGTGGGACTTTACAAATTCCGAGGATATTCTTGGAGGAGGGAAAAAGCTGCAGGGCTGGGGGCAGCTGCCTAATATATTACACATCCATTGTGTTATTGAATGAGTTTGAAAAGTTTGTTTGTCAGGAAGATTCACAAGCGGAAGTCTCCAACCTACTCAATGTCCCCTTTGCATTTTCTCACTTGCCAGGTGACCTTGTACAAGGGCTCTGACATGGAGGACTTTGGGTTCAGTGTAGCAGATGGCTTGCTGGAGAAAGGAGTATATGTCAAAAATATTCGCCCAGCTGGGCCAGGAGATCTTGGTGGCTTAAAGCCCTATGACAGGCTCTTACAGGTAAGACCGCAGTGGAATTTTGGTTAATTTAACTCTTCAAAGGTTTATTTGACCAATTCCCACCAATCCTCCTTTGCCTCAAAACTAGATTAGGGACCCCTATGTATAGGATGAAAGCTTTTTCCTTTGGTAGAATTTCGCAGTTATTGAAGTTGCCTGTTTCCCTGTATATATTGCCCAGCAGACGATAGACTGGTAGAGAGCCGAGCTAGCATCTTATTCTCTCAGCCCCTTTCTGCAACGCTTGATGTCTCCATCTCTCACACAATATCTGAAACCAAAACCAGAGCCTTCTTTACTTCCTGGAGTGCTCTTGTGGTCAGGGATGGTTTCATGAGCAAAGCAAATTCCTGATCTCATGCACAGTTTTTAGGAAGAGCATTTTGCAGGAGAAGGAGACGGGTGACATCAGTCTTGAAAGCGTGTTCAGCTGGAGTGAGCCTGTCACCAAACAGCTGACTTTGAAAGCAGGAGGCTGCACTGACAGCTTGGCTGTTAGAGGTGTGTTCACTGAAGCTGGTTGTCATTGATCAACTAGAGAGTTTTACAACCAGTTCTGGTGATCGTTTTGACTGTGGCAATAGAGCAGTTACTCTTGTCCTAGGAGTAGGGGGACACTTTTATTTTCCATAGATACTTTAGTATTTGCTGAATGATAAGTATGGACAAGTTACTTAACCTCTAAGCGTATCTTCCTAGTCTGTAAATTGGGGCTAGACCTACTTTCATGGAAGTCAAGGCTATGAAAGTAGACTGGATGCAGATTGGGAAGGACTTTGAATGTCATGATAAAGCTCTTGGACTTTATTCTGGAGGTATATTAATTTCCTAAGACGAATAATGACATAATTTGTAATTTGGGAAGACAATACAGTATTAGTGTGGGTGAATTGGGGGAGGTGGGGAAAAGGCAGATAACATGAAAGACCAGGTAGGTGTGGGGAAGAACCTGTATCAGACCTGAGCCTCTGATGTCTTCAGCGCATCCTGGTGGAGCCATCTGGAAGGGAGTTGGCAGTTTGTGTCTGTTGCTTAGGAGAGATGCTAGAGCCAGAGCTGAAGATTTCAGAGACTGCAGTTGCCCATGGTGGAGTTACAGTAAGGAGAAGAGAACCAAGGGTAGAATGCTAAGGAAAACAAAATTTAAAGGACAGGAAGAAATAAAGGCAGGAAAGGACTGAAAGGAGAGTTTTAAGGATGAGTAGGTGTCAAGAGCAGCCAATGCCAGAAGCTAAAGAGGGTGAGAACTCAAGATACCATTCATGTTTGGGACAATGGGGTCATTTGTACAATGTATGGCATCAGGTCCCAGCCTGAGAAGATGGAGGAGAGAATGAAAGTCAGGAATGGAAGCAGCATGTAGATGCTTTTAAAGACTTTTGTTGGTGAAGAATAAGATGAAATGAAAGATGAGTACGAGTCTACGTTGAGGAGAGGGTGGGCTCACGTAAGCAGGGTAGTTCAGCCTCATGGGCAAGAGCACAGGCTTTGGAATCAGCCAGGCTGCTTGGGATCGCCTCCTAGCTCAACCACTTACCAACCGCTGCCCTGAGGCAAATCTCCTAGCCACTCTGTGCCTCGCTGACCTCCTCTGTAAATTAGGGGTGACCTTCAGCACCTGGAGCCCCTGCCGTGAGTGAGGGCATCTGCCCAGCATTGGGTGTTGGGGTGTGTCCTTGTTCCCTGCTCTCAAGGGTCTTACCATTTCGTAGCAGAGCATGAGTAAGCCAAAACCGCGATAGAGTGTGGGCAGAGCAGAGACGGACCTCTTTGTCCAGGGGACACGTTTCAGCACCTTCAAGACAACTTGTCACAGCTGAGGTGTCACTCTGGGTTTTGGGTATCAGCTTCTGACTGTAACGGTGATTCACAATGGCTCTTCTTGACCATTCAGGTTAATCACGTCCGAACAAGAGACTTCGACTGTTGCCTCGTAGTACCCCTCATAGCAGAATCGGGCAACAAGCTGGACCTGGTTATCAGCAGAAACCCCCTGGCTTCACAGAAATCTGGAGAACAGACTCTACCAGGAGGGGAATGGAGTGACCAGAACAGTGCTTTTTTCCAGCAGCCTAGCCATGGCGGTAATTTGGAGATACGAGAACCCACTAACACGTTATAGCAATGCTTTTTATAAAGCAGGACAAAGACAATATCTACATGGTGCTAAAACATCCCTCTCGGATTCTGTGACGTCTGAAGCACAGATAATCACGTGGCATTAACTGCAAGCACAGGGGTCTTTTAAATCTCTCACGGCTCGTGTTCACTTCCCTTTCCAGGTTGAGGAGGTTTCTGTTTTGGTGACCACTAAGGTATGTGGCAGGCAACTCCCTGCCAGCCCCAACGGGAGAGAAAAATAAAAATAGGTAGGACGCCCCTCCCCACAATTAACATCAGAGGAAATTTTTTACAAGTTCATCTTCCTATCACTTTTTAAAAAGAGAAACGTCTGTTTGAAAATATTCTCTACGATCATTTCCTTAATTCACTTTGCAGTTTCTTACTATGAAGCCGTTCATGTAAGAACTTGACCAACAAGTCTTTTGACAAAGCTGGCTGTACTACAGGAACTAGGGTTTGCTAAGCTGCCGGGGCCGCTGCTGTGGGAGGGGTTCAGCTAGAGAATTGTTACCTTAAAATGTTTCAGCGACGATGCACGTAGGAGACCATAATAGGTGGTGGTAATGTTTGCCCAAGTATAGGAATGATTTTAACCACGATGTATGCTATTCCCTATGCAACAAATATCAAACAGGATATGTCTTGTGACCTGTTTTTTTTTTTTTTAAGGACACATTTTTAATAGCTGAAAATCTCTAATAATGAATTAGAGTGTTTAGTAACACTGAGAATTAGCTATCTTATTTTTAAAATTCAAGACTAAGAATTTAAGAGAGAATGAAGAATCTATTAAAATGAGATTTATCTTAATGCTAGGCAAATCAAACTCATACTGCTTGACGTGTTTATACTGACTGGTTATACTGAGGGTGTACAGCACATGTACTTAAAGATGACACTGGAATATCTTTTGTTCTGAGCCATGCCACTTACCGAAATTGTAAATACATTCTTCACAAAATGCATTGCCAATTATTACCATCCCTCAAAGCAATAAAGTGAGACAGTTGCTTTTAAAGTTTGTCAGCAACTGTTTTCATTTGTTCAGATATTTTGAATAGTTACAATAACTGTTATTTGGTGAATATAAAAAAAATAGATCTGTATATTGATTGTAGAATCTCCATACAGAAATGATTATTTTCCAAACATTTTCATTTTGGTCAATAATTAATTCAAACAACCGCTTAGGTAAAGCATTTGAACACTGTGTCCTTTGTTTAGGGAAAAAGTTCACCTTTCTTTTTGTGCAAAGAAAATATATTATTTCAAGCATATTTCAGAACCGCCAGGGCAAGAAGGTATAAAGCAGAATCATGTGAAGAAAAAAGGATCATGAGTCACTCAAATATGTATTTTTATTTGTAACAAGTATTAAGCTGTAAAGTATTTTTGTACAAATTTAATACTTTAATAGCATGATATTTATCGTCTATGTATGGTTTTGGGGAATTCAAAATTGTTGCAAATATTTGTATGGAAAAAAAACCCTCTACCAAATGGAATAAACAGTGATTTTAAAAAGCCCCCCCAAAAAACGGCACGCATGTTTTTGGTGCTTTGAATACATTTTAGTGCTCCAGAGGGAGTCGTACACAATGCTTGTTGTTACCTAATTTTCTAAAGGGGAAGGTTTTGTCATAAGCTTGAAAAGGAGGACAGGAGAGTGGGCAGAGCATGGGTTCTGAAATCGGATCTGGGTTTGAATTCCAGCTCTGGGACTCACTGGTGGGGTAAACTCACTTCCCGGGGGTCAGTTTCCCCACCTGTGACACTGAAGGGTCCATTTGCACTCCGGCACTGCTGTGAGGATGGGGTGTGACATGCAGGTGAAAGTGTGGAAACAGCCTGCAGACGGGAACACCCCAACACTAGCGGTAGGTTTATTCTAGGTGACAAGGATAGATCCTAACTGAAGGATCACACATCTCCCCTCAGAGAACATTACATGCATTCTATGAAATACATTTACATCAACTATTAAAGTGTACAAATTCTAATTATGCTATCTTAAAAAAAAACTACACCCATAGTCCCAACATTTTCATTTTTGCAGGTTACCCTGTAAGCCTTTTTAAATTCACAGGAACAAGGCAAGGATGTGCATTCTTGCCACTTCTATTTAACAGGGACCTAGAGGTTTCAGCCAGGGCAGTAAGACAAGAACACGAAATAAAAGGCATCCCGATTGGAAAGGAAGAAGTAAACTATCTTTATTTGCAGATGATATAATCTTATATGTAAAAAATCCTAAGGAATCCACTACGAATGTATTAAAACTAATAAATGACTTTAACAAGGTTGCAAGATAAGATCAATACACAAAAATCAATTGTATTTCTATACAGTAACAATAAACAAGCCAAAAATAAAGAAAACAATACCATTTTCAGTAAGATCACAAATAAAATGCTTAGGCATAAACCTGATAAAAGAAGTAAAAACCTTATACTTTGAAACTGCAAAACATTGTTGAAAGAAATGAGAGAAGACATAAGTAAGTAGAAAGACATCCTATGTTCATGGATCAGAAGACTTACTATTGTTAAGATGGCCATACTCCACAGATCTGTAGATTCAACACAAGCCCCCTCAAAATCCCAGCTGACAACTTTGTACAAATCGACAAGCTGATCCTAAAACTCATACGGAAATGCAAGGGACCCAGAAGAGCCAAAAAATCTTGAAAGAGAAGAATTGGAGGACTCACGTTTCTTGATTTCGAAACTTACTACAAAGCTAATGAAGACAACATGTTGCTGGCATAAAGATAGACATATGAATCAATGAAATAGAATTGAGAAGCCAGAAATAAACCCTCATATTTACGATCAGTTAATTTTTGACGAGGGTACCAAGACAATTCAATGGGGAAAGAACAGTCTCTTCAAGAAACAGAGCTGGAACAGCTGGATATCCACATGCAAAAGAATCAACTTTGACTACTACCCCACCATATATAAAAATTAACTCAAAATGAATCAAAGAACTAAATGTAAGACCTAGAACTATTCAACTCTTACAAGAAAAAACAGGAGTAAGTGTTCATGACTTTGGATAGGCAATAGTGCCTTAGATAAAGCAGCAAAAACACAAGCAACAAGAAGAAAAATAGATACACTAGACATCATGAGAATTAAAAACTTGTGCTTCAAAGGACACCATCAAGAATGTGAAAATAAAATCCACAGAATGGGAAAAAAATTTTTTAAATAATGTTTCTAATTAAGGGCATATGTAGCATATATAAAGAACTCATATCTTGAAAATGAAAAATAACAATTTAAAAATGGGCCAAAGATCTGAACAGACTCTTCTCCAAAAAGGACATACAAATAGCCAATAAGCCGATGAACAGATGATCAAAATCACTAGCTGTAAGGGAAATGCAAACCAAAACCCCAGTGAAATATCACTTCACGCCCACTAGGATGGCTATAATCAAAAAGTCAGACAATAACAAGTGTTGGAGGGAATGTGGATAACTGGAGCCCTCACGCACTGCTGGTATAAATGTGAAACGGTGCAGCTGCTTTGGAAAAGAGTCTGGCAGTTCCTCAAAGTGTTGAGTTACCATGTGACCCACAATTCCACGCCTAGGTATATACCTACAAGAAATGAAAATGTATGTCCACACAAAAACTTGTCCACAGGTGTTCATTAGTTATAATAGCCAAAAAGTGGAAACAACCCAAATGTCCATCAACTGACGGATACATTCAATGTGCTATATCCATACAATGGAATATTATTTGGTAAAAAAAGAGATGAAGGCATTTTGCCTCATTGCACTATGGAAAGCAAGATGGGGTCACCTGCAGCTCTACTGGAGCCACCTGCAAAAATTCAGCCAAGGTTCCTGATCTTGCCACATCAGCTCAGACCCACAGTCTGATCTGGAAACCCGGCATCAATCTACGCCTCCAGCTTTCCCATCAGTACATGAAGGATCTAGGCTTCCAGTTGGACTGACGGATCTTCCTTGAATGGATTAGCCAAGCCATCTATCCAATGAAAGAAACAATGCTAGCTCTTCGTACATAAATTTTTAAAAAATCTTTTTTTAAAAAAAGAGATGACTGGGGCCGGCCTGGTGGTGCAGTGGTTAAGTTCGCAAGTTCCGCTTTGGCAATCCGGGGTTCACTGGTTCAGATCCCGAGTGCGGACCTACATACCGCTTGTCAAGCAATGCTGTGGCAGGCATCCCACATATAAAATAGAGGAAGATGGGCATGGATGTGAGCTCAGGGCCAATCTTCCTCAAAGAAAAAAAGAGATGACACACTGATACCTGCCACAATATGCCTAAGTCTGAGAACATTCTGCTAAGTCAAAGAAGCCAGTAGCAAAGGACCACATATTGCACTTTCCATTTATACAAAATGTCTGGAATAGGGAAATCAATAGAGATAAAGTAGATTAGTAGTTGCCTAGGGCTAGAGGGGATGAGAGCAAAGAGGTACAGGGTTTCTTCTGGAGTGACAAAAATCTTTTAAAATCCATTGTAGTGTGGGTTGTACAACTGTGTGAATATACTAAAAGCCACTCAGTCATACATTTTAAATGGGTGAGTTGTATGTGAATTACATCTCACTAAGGCTATTTGTGAAACACTGGGATAACAGGTAAATTTTCCCTCAACTTTTTCTCTCACCGTTTAATAATAAATAAAACTCTAAAAATAAAGAAAAATCAAATCACTCTGAGAAACAAATTTTCCAAAGTGCAATATCTTCAAAACAATGTGCTCCCAAAAAATATAGTAATTACGAGACATGAGAGAGGTGCTGGCTAATGCTACAGGGGTAATCAGACTGTAGGACAGAAGTGTATCAAATCGACACGGTGTAGACCTTAAACTTACACAATGTTGTATGTCAATCATAGCTCAAAGTAAGAAAAGAAAAACAACGTGCTCGCAACTCAGAAGGAATTTCTAGGAAAAAGTCGTGGGTGAGGCGGGTGGTGGCAGCAGCGATGGAGCGAGCGCAGCCTTGTGAGATGACCACTTTGCAGAAGACACGACATCCTGGAATGTGTGTCAATCACACGAGAGATGCAATTACAGCTTATCTTTACCACCGCTTCCGCCCAGTGGCAAAGACCCCCCAAAATGATCACGGAAGTCAATACGGCATTACCCTAAAAATAAAACACTTTTTAAAGTACACAGTTTTTTTAAAAAAAATATAACATCTTTTTCCCTTTATGTCCAATGCTAGCAGTTCTCATGATGACGGATGCGCAAATCATTAAAGTTTTCTTTGATCAAATGAATTTAAAACATCTGCTAACACAAACTCCTTAAAATAAAACTCCAGTTGTAGACATTCTCTTTTATCTTGATACTTTGAAGCTATGATATTCATTTTGTGTTGCATGGAAAAAAAAATGGACAATTATTTTGAGCAGTCTGAAATAAAATTAAGTTTCTTGATTATCTGTGGATTTGAAAAGTCGCCTGGGGGTTAAACTGTTTAGTTTTAAAGTCTGAAGTCTGGAAGACACTTGAGGAGAGGTTTCGTCCACCTGTTTGAACAACAATAAAAATAAAGTTAATTTTGTAAAAATGGAGTCAATGTATGCTGTGTACTTCTATCCCCTCTGACTGCTTCTGCAGAAGATGTAACACATTTTCCCCACCCCTTGGAAGGCCTGAGCAGACCAGGGCGATCAGCTGTCAGCTCCATGTGGGACATCTGCTTCTGCTCACTGTGACATCCCCAGCACCCAGCTCTGGACTGGCCTACAGAAGTGACTATTTGCTGAATGAGTAAGTCAGTCCAATTTCTGATGGTGTAGACAGGGTCCATTGCATAATGTGGCAGCCTAGTAGAAAATTAAAATGGCCGCCCCCCCTTCAAATTAAGAATTTCAAGATGGCAACCACAGAACATTAAAACAAGTGTAGGGTCCTTCTAAGCACCAAGCCCTTTTAATGGACCTATTTTCTCCTGTATTCAGGGCCTATGACCCATTGGTAGAATGTGATGTCTATGAAGTTATGTCTGTTTTCCTCCAACATCTGGATCAGCGACCAGCAAAGGAGCTAGATTTTTTCTCAGATGCTGACAGAGGGAAGGCAGACCGAAAGACACATCCACACCAAGTTGCACAAGAAAAGCCAAAAGGAAGAGATGAGAATAAGTTTGGTTCATTTTAGCGAATGAAGAGACTAGCAGACTAAAGCAGAAAAGAAGAGTGGGAAATGAAATGATGCAGGGCAAGCTGGAATCAAGCTGTGAAAGGTCTCAAATGGCAAGCTGGAGAGTCTAGAATTCATGCTGGAGGCATGAGGGAGCCACTGAAGGCTTCTGAACAGAGGAATGAGCTGAGCACTTCAGGGGGGTTTATTGGTAACAATGTGTAAGGTGCATTAGCAGAGTGGGAACAACAGGTGGGGAGGCAGCCAGGTCAGCAGACAGCCCCGAAGATGAGAGGAGGATCTAAAAAAGCCCAGACGAAATGGGATGGAAGAAATCCCTGACGGACAATTTGCAATAAACCTAGCAACTCACTGGGGGTAGACGGTGAAAGTGAGATGAGTATAAAGGGACTCCAAGATTTTAACTTGTGTGATGGGGAGAATAGGTCTTGAAATGGAGAAAGCAGAAAACAGAGTAAAACGTTGGGCTGTGGGTCCAGAAAGTCAGTCCCTAGGAACAAAGACAACAACCGGGAGTCAGGTCGCTACCTCCTCTCCAGCGTTACAAGCCGCTGGAAAACACCAGGCTCCTTACAGAGCCAATCTGGCTCCACCAGGAGCCATCAGTGCCAGAGTGGGAACTGGCACTCATCTTTGATTTCCCAGTGCCTGGAACGTAGCAGAGAGTTAAAAACTATTTGTTGAACAAATCATTGGAGCAGGGGTGACGGCTGGACCAGAACAGGATCAGTTCTCAAAGGAAGAACTGAGCCTTGGGGAGCTGTCGCTCATCAGAGGATGGGGTGAAAAAACAAAGGAGAGATGAGAGGCGGAGGCAGGACAGACACAGAGTCCGATAAGGTCACACCAAAACCAAGGGAAAGAAACATGGAAACAGCAGAAGTAGTTAAAACTACTAAATATCAGGGAAAAAAGTCCAGAACAGACTGCGAAGTTCCTCTTGGCACACCACCTCCCATCAATGGACTGAGGTCCCCTGAAGGGCCAGCCTCAAGCAGAGTGAGAAAGATAACGAAGAGGAATCGGGCACAGGAGAAGGAAATGCGACAGGCAAGCCGACACTTGTTTTTACGTCCTACAGCACAATGCAACACTAATAAAAACATAGTCATTTATAACCACACGAAAGTTAGCAATGTTTAAACGAAACCTGAGCACATGCGAACATCACTCCTACCATAAGAACTTTGTTTGGACTCTCAGTGTTGTCCATGGCACAGGTTCTTTTGCACCCTCTTGATGTTGACAAATCTTCACCCATATCCACATCTTCAGGTGAAGAAAATTTCCATCTTCTAGGAGAGGAGAAGGCCCCGCCGTCAGCCGCAGAGGCCTCGCTTCTGGGGACATCGTTTGTCCCCAGGTCAGCCGTGACTGTAGGGCCGGGTGATGCTGATGGCTGTGTGCTGTGCCCTCTGCTGTCTCCGGAGCTCTTTGATGGGGATGCAAAATCCGCTGGAGATGCATAGCTCATGGAGAGACTGTTTTGCAAAAAATGCTTTAGACGAGTTCTTCTGCGGAAACTGTTTCTCGAGATTGCGCTCCGGAGCTGAGACTCCTCTGCGATGACATACACTCTGCAGCGGCCCCTGGTCACCGCGGTGTAGACATGCTGCCAGTGCTGGCGGCCCGCCTTCCCAACCACGTAGACAACTGTCCTCTCCTCAGACCCCTGGGAGGAACAATGCGTTAGGAAGACAGAATGCTGTGTAAGATCCGCGTCTGCAGACAGCCGACACAGGCAGGAAAGACACAGGCCTTCAGTGCTCTCCAGCACCTTCTGCCTGGCCGGAGCAGTCACACGAATCCATCCTATGCGCTCCATTTTATTCGTTATCCAAGAACTCACGTTTTCTAGTTATGCTGCTAAGTTCAGGTCTCATAGATCCACACCTGGCTTATAGAAACCCAGCGAGAAACTTTAAAGACAGCACATGGTACTAAATCTTCCTTAACAGAGGAATCTAAAATGACTGGATGGGCTTTATGTGTAAATACATTATCCCATGGTTGCTTAGATAACAAAAAATGGACACCTTAAATATCCATAAATAGGAGAATAGGTATTTATTTATTTATTTATATCTATTTTTAAGTATAAATATAGTATCTATACTATTTTGCGAACATCAAAGATGCTTTAAAATAGAACAAAATTTTTAAAACTGAATACGTATATTTAAAAAATGATCACAACTATGTAACACAAATTAAAATCACTGTGATCCAAAAAAGCACATACAAAATGAACATAAATATGTAACAAAACAAAATAAATTACACGAAAAAGGGAAGGCAATTCTATCAAAATTTTAACTAGTCTGTCTCCAAACGGAGGGCCTGTGGATGATTTCTTTCTTCTACTTTTCTCTATCTTCCCATTGTTGAACCACTAATTTTATCAAGATAAACAATAGAGAAGAATGAATCTTTGTTTTTTAAGTTTAGCAAACCAAGAAATGTATAGGCAAGAAAAATGCCCCATGTCACCAGGTCACTGTGAGAGAACAATTTCAGGCTCTATGGCTATTCTTAGTCCCTGTACTTCCAGTGCCAACATCAACCAAGGGGTGGTTTTAACCATTAGCCGCCTCGATGCTCCCACACCGGCCCTGCCAAAGAAGGAGCTGCAGGAGACGAACGCTGAGCGGGGCATTTGCAGATCCAGCGTGAAAACCTCTCACACAGCAAGCCCCTCTGTCTCCCCGGACACAGAGAGCTTGAACCAACTCTCCACATTACAAAGGTTTGATAAATACTTCCTTCCAATGCTGCCGAGTCTCAGAAACTGACTTAAATGATACCTGATTATACAAATGCTCACCACATTTTACAGATACACAGCACCATTTCTCATCTTGGCCTTTATATTGTGTATTCCTAAATAGATAAATGTCCACCTAACCGAGTTCTTAATGACCAATTAAGGAACACTGAGGACCGTTTCACAGCCTCCCGATCAGCCTCCCTGGGCCCACACTGGCTGCAATCCGCTCAGCGCAGCCAGTGATATTCGTAAAACGCAAACCCAATCACATCAGGCTCTGCTTAAACCCATGAATGGCTCCCAGGCTCTCTAAATAAAGTCCTAACCCCTTATTAGGGCTCATTTGGTCCTTCAAGAGCCAGCCTTGCCCCGCTCCTCTCCCTCCTCCTTTCCCGCCGCTACGCTCTGTCCAGCACAAGGAACCTCTTTGTGGTCCTCTCAGGGTCCCCAGTCTGTGGCCTCCATCTGGCCCCTTCTGGATCAGCTGCCCCGTCCACGGACTTCTCGCCACGCTGCACTTCCTCCATCACAGAAGTTTCACCAGGCTGGAGTGTGACTGCCTCCTGCCGGACTCCTCACTGATGCAAGCTCTGTGAAGGCAGGACAACGTCTGCCCTGCTCACGGCTCTCTACCCAGAGTCTCACTGAACGAATGAGGAAAAAAGTCAAACTGTCACGCCAAAGCCGTGCTGAGAAAGTGGGACATGGACACCTAACTTCACCTAAATCACCTGCTATAAATCATTCGCCCATTTCTCTAAATCCTCCTTGAATCATCAGAACTGTGGAACTCAAGGAGGCAAGTCTCATATATTGACTTTTAATGATGTATACTTCTATTATCTAAATTTGTTCTAAACTCAACAGCTTCTATGAGCAGACACAACTCATTACTACCCTTCATGATCTTATAGACTTAAAATCTGAAAGTCTATATGGACTTTAAGGATCAAAAAACTTTTTCTGTAAAGGATCAAAGAATAGATGTTTTAGGCTTTGCAGGCCAGATGGTCTCTGCTGCAACTACTCAACTCTCCCTCTGAGGTGGAAAAGCAGTCAGAGCCAATATGCAAATGAATGTGTGGCTGTGTTCCAATAAAACTTTATTTAAAAAACAGGTGGTGGGCCAGATTTAGCTACCATATTGGATAACGCAGTCCTAGAAGGCCCTATGAGGTGAGGTGACCTGGCCCCCTATCCCTCTACCCCCCTCACCCCACATTACTTCCCTGACCTCATCTCCTGTCACTCTTCCATGTGGTTTCCTTGCTGTTCCTGTTCCTCAAATATGCCAGACAGGCTCCCACCTTAGGAGAACCTTGGCCTTGGCTATTCCCTCTCTCTCTAGAATACCCTTCTCCCACAAACCCACGTGCTTAACTTCTCCAAGACCTTCTACAAGTCTTTGCTCAAATGCCACCTGCTCAATGAAGCCTATGCTGACCACCTATTTAAAATTAGAACTACACCCCAGCCCTTTTTCATAGCATTTACTACCTTCTAACATAATATGTAGTTTTTTTTTATAGCTGTGTCTGTCTCTGTCCTCTTCTCCACCAAATGCAATCTTCACAATGATGTGAAGGTATCTTTGTTTCGTGGACTGACTTATACCAAGCACCGAGAACAGAGTCTGACTCAGTAAGTATTTGCTGAACTGAACCAAACTTGGGAGAAACAAACTATGCTGATACGAGATAACAATCACGAATGTTCTCAGAGGTAAGAGACATTACTTCAATCACGAAATAAGAGCCGGATTCAATAAAAGGCACATTCCAAGATATCTACTCCAACCTCAACCCAGTGATAAAGACCCCTTCACTCTTCATTTGTCCAGAAATGCACCAGTAAGTCTGGATTATAATTTGAGGAAATCTCTCAGAAAGTGGAGCAAAATGATAAGATGGAAAATAGTAGCACAATAGTAGAGAGTAATAAGAAATTGAGATAACCAGTTCCTGAGGTCCAATATAATAGAGGTTCTAGAAAGATAAAACAGAGAAAGCCAAAGACATTACTAAAATCTTAAAGAAATTATTCAAGAAAATTTTCCAAAATTGAAGGATATGAGTTTCCAGAATTACAGAGACCTCATCATAAAGATCCATGGAAGAAATTTCTCCAGGACCTCACAGCCAGGAATGTTTGCACTTAACAACTGTTTGTTTGCTTCTTTAAGGCAACAGACAGTCAACTGACTGCTCCTCTCTTTACTGTGGGAGCTGTGGCTGCGAGGGAACTTAAAAGCCCAATCTGCAATCCACACAGCAAGCACACAGCTCTGTGATCACACGGGCAGTCCAACCCACTCCTGCCAGGAATCCTTTCACCCTCTCTACCTTTATTTTCCACCTGACATCATTTCTTTATCTTTTTAAAAAATCATGCTGAATTGTGGGCATTTTTGTACACCATTTCAAATTCTTTTTGAAACTGAGATGGGGTAATAAATAAAACACCATCCACTTAAAAAAAAAAACCCATTCTAATTAATGTTGCCTACTAGTAGAGGATATAGGCGAACCTAAATTTTTCGGCAAAAAAATGTAGGCTGATGGAGCTTGGTCATTCAAGCAACACACCAACATCAGAGAGGGGACCTCAAAACAATGAGATAAGCAAGAGAGCCACCAATAACTTAGGAGACTTCAAGAGTATTCCAATAAAGCTTAAAAGCAAGTCGCACTAAATGCCATATGGTATTCAGGATTAGTTCCTAGAGCAGAAAAAGGACACTAGTGGAAAAACTGGTGAAATCCAAATAAAGTGCACAGTTTAGTTAACAGTACTGTACCAATAGTAATTTCTTAGTTTTGACAAATATACCATAGTAGTAGGAGATCTCGACATTAGGGAAGGCTGGGTCAACTGTATATGGGAACTCTCCATCCTATCCTCCCCACTCTTCTGTAAGTTTAAAATGATTCCCAAATTGAAAGTCGTTGCAGGGGCCAGCCCCATGGCATAGTAGTTAAGTTCGGCGCGCTCTGCTTCAGTGGCCTGGGTTCACAGGTTCAGATCCCAGGTGGGGACCTACACCGGCATGCTGTAGAGACATCCCACATTTAAAGTGGAGTAAGAGTGGCACAGATGTTAGCTCAGGGCTAACAAGAATCTTCCTTAGGGAAAAAAAAAAGTTGCCTCCCAAAGACGAGGGGGGATGTGTTTGTCAAAACTTATCCAAGTTCATAATTAAAATGTGCATGCATATTATACCCCAATAAAATTGATTACACAACTAAAAAAGTAAGTTGTAAAAATATATAAACATTACAGTACTATTTATGTAAATCTCAGTAACCTTGTTTCCATATGAACGGACAATTCAGGTGGAAGTCAGTTCTGAGCAGGGTGGAAGGTCTGGGACACAGTGAGACAAGTGAGGCACTCACCTTGGGCACAAAATTTAAGAGGATGCCAAGAAACTCAGCAATCAAGATAAAGAATATCTTAATGTAATATTTTAAAAACTCTAAATTTAGACAAAAAATGATCCACGATGAACAAAATATCAAAAGTTTAAATGAAGACAAGATCAGTAACAGTGCCATGCCCAGTGACACTGCATGCTGGAGCACCAGGAAGACACAGTCATTCTGGTCCTGACCTTTCTGCCCGGGGGCAGGGAAGGCCCAAAGGACGTGGCTCTAACTATGACGTCCCAGTTCCTCAATAAAGACAGTCTGAGGCAAAAAGAGCAAAAGGCTAATGTCCATCTAGTATTTTCTGTACTTTTGTGCATTTTCTTTCCTAACTAAAAAGATAAAAGCAAAAGCAACAAAAATTAAGAAGAAAATAATGCAAGGTACTCTATGGCTTGGGAAGCTACTTAATTTGCTTTATAAACATCCATTCTTACCTGAAAAGTGTGAATAGTTCTTGCCCATGCATGTTTTACGTGACAATGTTTCATTAGTTTCTGAAAATCCACAGTTACTTCCAAGCCAGCCCTATTATCAATGGTCACAAGTCTTCTCCTTCCAAAGGTTACATCAGTTACATCCTGTCACCAAAACAAACAACTAGTCTGTATCTTTTTAAATATGCATTCTGTAAAGACACTCCATCTTTGTGTCGAACATAAAATGCAAGCACCTTTTAAGTAAAATAGCACGTATATTCACTATAATTGTTAAGAATTTTAAAAGGCTTAAAATCTACCTTAAGCACAAACTGAATACATACACACCCAAACATTTTAACAAACACAAATGGAAGGTTTTGGTCCTTGAAACTTAACCTTCATTTGACTCTCTGAGAAGAGTCTGTGTTGTCTTTCTTATTCTGAAGTCTGCATATACTCTCTGCAAAAAGTTTACTTTTCCTCACAGCTTTTAAAGAATAAGCGTGTAAGTTTAAGAGGCTGTTTATACAATGAGAACAAATTCAAGGTGAACGCTTCTGTAGTTTCTGGAAGCAGCAACCGAGGAAATGGTGCTTTGTAAAATATACGTGTGTGACTTGTCGCTTGTGTTTTGTTACTCAAGCACTTCAAACTTATTAAAAATGTTTCTTCAGTCTTTCAGAAAATACAAGAGAAAGGAACACTTCCCAACTCATTTTATGAAGCTAGCATTACTCTGACACCAAAACCAGACATCACTAGAAAACTGCAAACTAGTATCCCTCGTAGACATGGATGCAAAAATCCTTAACAAAAAATAATGGAAGAAGGGGCCGGCCTGGTGGTGCAGCCCTGAAGTTCATGCACTCTGCTTTGGTGGGTGTGGACCTACACACTGCTCATCAAGACATGCTGTGGCAGGCATCCCACATATAAAATAGAGGAAGATGGGCACAGATGTTAGCTCAGGGCCAGTCTTCCTCAGCAAAAAGAGGAGGATTGGTTGCAGATGTTAGCTCAGGGCCAATCCTCCTCAAAAAACATAATAATAATTAAAAAAATAATAAGGAAAGAAGGTCAGCTCTGATAATGACTAGACTCTGAATCAACCCTAGGGCAATAAAAAAAAGTCTCTCTCTAATAGGTAAAAAGGTACTATTTTTTTGTTATCACTTACTTTTGTTATGAAAAATATTTCTCCATTGCAGAGTCGAATACCACTGTCAAAGTCATGCTTATTAGCAAAACCAGCAGGAGTACCATTGAAGTCTGCACCGCTGGGCGCGAAGTCATTGTTCTGCTGACTGTTGAGGGTATCTGCAGGGAGCAGGTCCGAGAGATACGCATTCCTGGTACAACAAATTTTATCACCGACTCCAAATTGAAGCCTCTTCTGATGGTCTCTGGGTTAGAAAATAACACATTATCAATGTTTGGAAACCCTCAATTCCATTTTGTTTAAGCATTAATGCCCAACTCAGATCCAACCCCATTCTCAAAATAATTTCCACACTCTACTTTACTTTGTCCTCCAAAGGTCAACAAGACATCAGGCTCCCACGGTCATGGTCTGATGACCTCTATTCGGCAGCACCTCAAACTCAATGACATTTCCCAGCCCAATTTTTTCAAGCTGGAAATCTTGACATAAATGCTGATGTTTCTTTCACTCTATATTCTAAAAGATGCCAAAAGTCTTAATGATGCTACCCTTTAATTCCACCCTCTCCTCTCCAATCTCTCCATCACTACCCAATCTCAGGTCTTACAACACTTATCCATATTTCTATTATAATAACAACATTCTATCAGAACAGTCTCAGCAAACTTAATAAACGCTGGTGAGGGGGCCAGCTCCGTGGCCGAGTGGTTAAGTTCGCGCGCTCTGCTGTGGCGGCCCAGGGTTCGGATCCTGGGCACGGACATGGCACCGCTCGTCAGGCCACGTTGAGGCAGCATCCCACATCCCACAACTAGAAGGACCTGCAACTAGGATATACAACTATGTACTGGAGGGGTTTGGGAAATAAAGCAGGGAAAAAAAAAAAAAAAAAAATTGCCAACAGTTGTTAGCCCAGGTGCCAATCTTTAAAAAAAAATGCTGGTGATACACGAGCTGCTGAGATAAGTGCCTGAGGTGTATTATTTCATTTCATCCTTACCGCAGCCAGACGGAATTCTGTGTAAGCATCCTCTTTAACATACATGGAAGGGGGTATTACCTGTCCAAGATCACAGTTACTGGGACCCAGACTAGAGGGCCCCCATCTCATGCTTTTTAACCCTTTGTCAGGCTACCTAACACTGTTTTTTGTGTGTCTTGCCTCAAGAGACAGGGAGCTCCTCCTGGAACATACATATCTCTCGGTTCTGTGCACTTAGTAAGTAGTAGGTGCTGATAAACCCAAGACAAGTGAGATGATTTTTCCTACATGTAAACAGGGTGGCTTTTTTCCACTCCTATTTCTCTGACAGATGTTCAGTAAGGTGCTCCCTGTTACTCAGGTTCTTGGACACTCTATACACATATTATAATTTGGAAAATTCGCCTGAGTTCCCTACACTCATCTTGGAGAAACTGGAGGCTGCCAACCTGGAAACCACAAAGAAAATTTTGTTCCTTATTTTTCTTATTCCACCGATTACCAAGAAGTCAATTCCTGAGGATATATATTTAATTGAAGAGATCACTTTACTTCACTAACGAGAAAAAAGGTTTTAAACTATGTGGCTACAGTGATAAATGTCAAAATAGACAAAAGAAGAGCAAATCAAGGAGGGACTGTCCCCAGAGTCACATTCTTTTGTGCTCACTTCATGAGGTGGTCCGTGTAGTGCCTGCAACAGCAGTCGTTGATGACATCACAGTCTTGCCTGAAACACAGGAAAATGCAAGGGTCACCTTAACAGCATCTGTTTTGTGCTTATTTCTCTTATCAAAAATTACGATATACTGGGGGCTGGCCCCGTGGCCGAGTGGTTAAGTTCGCGCGCTCCGCTGCAGGCGGCCCAGTGTTTCGTTGGTTCGAATCCTGGGCGCGGACATGGCACTGCTCATCAGACCACGCTGAGGCAGCGTCCCACATACCACAACTAGAAGGACCCCACAACGAAGAATACACAACTATGTACCGGGGGGCTTTGGGGAGAAAAAGGAAAAAATAAAATCTTTAAAAAAAAAAAAAAAGTAATAGTTTAAAAAAAAAAAAAAATTACGATATACTGGATGCTATAAAAAGTTTCCAGGACTTTCTCCAGGAAAAACTATTTTGTAATTTTTATCTTAACATAAACCTTTGTTCCATTCAGATTTCCTGTGAGGTTCCAAATACAATATTTGGTAGAAAGAGCCCTGTTTAGAAACTGCCCTCTGCCATGTCTAAAAAGAAATACCTCAAAACAAGAGAGAAGTAACAGTGATGAACTAGCAGAGTCTCCCACTTGAACAGGATCTATACTAACAAGATGAAAGATTGAAAAGCTAGATTAAAAACATTAAAATACTGTAAATGCTTTACCTTCTAAAGGCAATAAATTGTGATTTTTCGGCATCTCGCAGGTCATCTTCTTTGAGTAAAGTTCTAACTGCAGAATATAAATCTGATAATTCAAGAGAAAAATGTTAACCCAGAAAAGCACCAAATTACAACATTGTTTCTATGGAGAAACTAACTCAGAATTCCTGCTAACGGGTCTGGAAAACAGCTCACCAAATGGAATATAAGTTCACCACAGGAACATCAACCTCATTCACACCCTCAGCCTGAGCAACAGAAAAGAGAATGGAGACAGGCTCCAGACACCCACTCAACAGAGAAGCCACACCAGCCAGCAGAGATCCTAATCGGCAGTATGGCCACAGCATCCTTACTGACGGTTTGCGAATGCTGAACTTACAAGGGCAAGAGGAAAAAACACGTAATGGAACTACTGACCTAAGACGTCTTTGTGTTTTAAGTTCTGGTGGTACTGGTGGTAAGGAGTTATCAGCTGAGAATCTATATGCTTTGCTCACAGCAGTTGGCTGCATTTAACCTTCACCACACTCAGTGAGGCAGCTATCATTACATCCACGGCTGCTGGTCAGCTGATACACGCCAGTATACAATACTGAGACGCTTCTATGATGCCTGGAAAATAACCACCCCCACACACCACAACGCCCCACCCCCACCCCCACCTTGTCCCCCTCCCCCAGAACCCCCCAAACATCTCCAAGATTCAGCAACTAAAGGTTAACCCTGGCTCAGCAGGAGCATGCACTGCAAGAGTGACCACACCTGACCAGCTATTGAATAGTCTGACTGTCACGCTGGTTACATCCTTGTTACCAACGTGGAACTGAGGCTCTTGGCAGTGAAAGCAACTTTCCACGTGAGTCAGGTGGCCAGCCTCGCTCTTTCAGAGCTCAGATCACAACAATGGTGACAGCCACTTACACTTCGTCCTTCCTCGGAGCTCTGAGAAGCAGGCTCCCTCCAATCCCTCTCAGCAATATTACAAAACAGCGGACATTTCTCGTTACTGAGAGAAGATATAAAAATTGGGGTAAGAACCTTCCAGGCTTTTGTGCCTTTCCCTCGTAGCAACGAGTCACAGGGGAATGAAAAGGCCAGGCCTCGGGACGCCCTGCTCTAGGAAGACGGCATCAGCTGCTCGCGGAGCCTTTCATCTTCCAGATAAAGGGAGGATTATCACTAAAAGCGAGCCCACACTCAGCTCACGGCGGTCGGGCCTGCCCGGAACGTCCAACAGCCTCATGGAGCATCGCTTTCCTCTACGCGTACAGGAGCGTGCCTGCCTTCTTCACTCCCTAAACATCTCACAGATCAATACGTACCCCATATTTCACTGATTCAAACACGTACGTTATTCTCGCATTTCCACATCTCTGAAATTCTAGCCCAGTAATGAAGCCTGTCTCAGGTCTTTGTACTTTGCAATAATGAGAATAATTTACTCAATAACTTAATTGTCAATGAAAAAGTACTATATGCCACCCCAAGGAATATTCGATTCTCTTAAAGAAGAGACTAATTTTCCAGCCGAAGTTTGTCATTAAGAGAAAAACAGGGTCCAACCCCATGGTCGAGTGGTTAAGTTCGCACACTCCGCTTCGGAGGCCCAGGGTTTTGCTGGTTTGGATCCTGGGGGCGGGCATGGCCCTGCTCATCAGGCCACGCTGAGGTGGCATCCCACATAGCACAGCTAGAAGGGCCCACAACTAAATATACAACTATGTACTGGGGGGATTTGGGGAGGAAAAGTGGAAAAAAAAAAAAAGATAGAAAAACAGCATCAGCTGAGCTCTGCTGCCATTCTGAGACCAACATCTCTTTAAGCAGGTAGTCATTAACGAAAGAACGGGGGCCAAAAATAAAACCAACCATATTTTAGGTAAAGCAGATGGAGTGGCAAAGAGGGCAAGTTCCTTAACCACCGAAGTCTCATTTTCTTCATCTGTTCTAGTACCTACTGTTAGCTAAGCTGTTGTGAGAATAAATATTATCTATGAATTCTTCACAATATGTTAATAAAAAACAAGTGACAAAATAATATGCAGCTTATAATCCAATCTATGTAAAACTAAAATAAATATGTCTGTGCCTGGATATGTTAAGGTTTAAAGGATAAACACCAAGCTCTCACTGTGTAAGTGACCTTTACTGGGTTGTCTAGGGGGAAAAGGAGAGAGGAAGATTACAGTGAAATAGTAATTTTTACGTCAAACACTTCTGTATCATTTGACTTTTTTTAAGGACTATAAATTATTTCTATGATCCAAAAAACAAAAAAGGTATTCACAGAATACCATGTATTATATGATCCCATTTAAAAAGAAAAAAGAATCCAGCCACATGTGAATAACACTAACCCAAGGGAGCTGAGATCGGTGACACACACAATGGAGGAAAGGCCTGCAAATAAAGTTGTTGGCACTTAGATTCACTGCAGAGTGAAAGTAGTTAAGTAGGAAGGATAAACCTTTAAGAACTGTGGCAACTACAATAAATCCTCCATAATAATTTAAATCTTCACTAATTCAATTTTGAGTAAACTATTACACTATTAAAAAGAGTTTTCGGGGCCGGCCCAGCGGCGCAGCGGTTAAGTTTGCATGTTCCGTTTGGGCGGCCTTGGTTCACCAGTTTGGATCCCGGGTGCGGACCTACGCACCATTCATCAAGCCATGCTGTGGCAGGTGTCCCACATAAAATAGAAGAAGGTGGGCATGGATGTTAGCTCAGGGCCAGTCTTCCTCAAAAAAAAAACAGTTTGCTAAGTAAGTTTATAAAATAAATAAAGATCAAAAAGTTTAAACTATGTAAATAAACTCATTTGCAATAGCTAATTCAATGTCTTTTATTCACAAAAAACTAACACTTACACTATACTGCCTCAAAACTAACGAATGCCCTCAACGCTCTCAACAGCTCCACAGGCACCGTCACAGTGATTCTCATCTTAGAAACGATTAAGTGACGGGAAGATCCCCTGTCCTACCCTCTCACTCTGTCGTGTTGGCAGCCATCATTAGAAGCAGTGCTTGTCCATTTTATAAGAAACAGAACTATTAGGAGACCAACATGGCAACAATTTAACAGCCATGATGTTTGTTGCAAAATGTACTCAAGGGGCCATCCTGGTGGCACAGTGGTGAAGTTCGCACATTCCGCTTCAGCAGCCCGGGGTTCGCCAGTTCAGATCCCGGGTGTGGACATGGCACCACTTGGTAAAGCCATGCTGTGGTAGGTGTCCCACATATAAAGCAGACGAAGATGGGCATGGATGTTAGGTCAGGGCCAGTCTTCCTCAGCAAAAAGAGGAGGATTGGCAGCAGATGTTAGCTCAGGGCTAATCTTGCTCAAAAAAAAAAAAAGTACTCAAAATACTGAGTGTATTTAGTCTTCCAATTGCTGTAAACGAAAACCTTCACTAACTAAAATGTTTTCTCCTGAATGAACCTGGATTACTGGGGCTTTCCCCTATTTTAAACTAATCATCTACACCCATTTATTCACTCAACAAATACTTAGCCCTTAGTGTGTGTGTGTCAAGAGCTTCCCAATCTTTATAAAATTCTAGGGTAATCTGCTTTTGATGATTAATACATTAGCTTATTTTCAGTGCCTAATTTTTTTACTAGCAGTATTTATCTTTACTTTCAAATAAAATTACAACTAGTCATTTAATAACTATATTACAAAACTGAAACAGCCCTACATAACACAGAATTTTACACTTACGAGCCCGATGATCATCTTTCGATAACTGAGAACTGTCATCCTCTTCTGGGAGTCTGACAAAAATAAATGTTTTATCTTGTATTGACACAGGGAAGGTTGCATTATCAGAGAGATTCAGCTCGGCGTCAAATCTGGGAAACTGGCGTCTAGAGATTCTGAAATAAAGATAAAACAATACACCAAGAAGATTAGCATCCAAAAATGTGCCTTCGTATGTGATTAGAGATATGTCATTACAATAATTAATACCTGTTAATAGATAATAAATAGGATGAAAAGGCTACCCGTAGATGCATTATAAATAGTACATGACTTTTAAAATAAAATTAGCAAGACCAGTGCACTTCTATTCATCCTGCGAAACCCCAGCTTCAGTGCTGACCAATCCCTCACCCTTAGCAAAACACAAAAGTCTTAGAAAAAATTATCAGGGAATTTACCCAGCACCACTCGGAGAACTTGACCTACTCTTCTCCAGACCTCAAAAGAACCTACAAAGTAGGTACCACCCTCTTTTCACGGGTGATGAAGCTCCATCAACTGTGGCAGGTCGCCCAAGCACAAAGGCAGAAGGCAGGGGAGCTAGGAGGAAACCCAGGCCCATTTGGCCCACATCCCTTGTAGGTAAGCTAATTGGGACTCTTAGGGGCCCTTTCCATACATTTACATCATACTCTTTCTTTTCTGTTTTTTTCTGTGTCTATCCCGTGTCTGGCCTCATTGTCCCAGTAGAACCAAGTATTCGCAGCTTCTCTTTGCTTCCGCTCCCTCCTCATCCTTCTTTTGTTCTTGTATTTCCCAAGACTAGCAAATCATAGGAGAAAACAGAGTAAGGGGCCTGTCACGGTAAAGTCTCTCCTTGGTGATCTGGAAAAAGACTAGTCCCTGAGAAGAACCAACAGCAGCCTGGCTAACGAGGCAGAGGGACCTCCATGCTTCCTGCCTCTGGGCACAGGCCTTGGGGCCCTTGTTCGAGAGGCTGGTCACAGCTGTCGGGCCCTTTGCTCCAGCTTTCCTGCGTTTGCCCACTCTGGGCCTCCAAGAATGGAAGTTGCAGCAAGTCTGCTGTGTCAACATCAGCTGGAGCCCGGTTATCAAGACAGCCTAGGGTGTGAAGCCCCATCCACCAGCAGCCCGGGTGCCTGGAGTCCAGCCCCTCTCTGTGTGGTTAGGGTGGGTGGGCAAGTGGGCAGGGCTGCCAGGCCTGGGCTGGGCAGGTATCCAGAACCAGCAAGGGCAGCCCCAGACAGAGAGCAGGACTGAGGAAGGAGCAGTGCAATCTCCCCTTGGCACAGCTCAGGGGGACTTCCTGGCAGAGGCAGCCTTCCAGCCTGTGAAGGCTAAGTTTGGGGCTTATTCAACCCTTCCCAACAGGATTGAAAGGGAGGAAGAAGGCCGTCCCCGCGTGAAATACCCCAGATTCAATTTTTTAGATTCTGAGAAGCACCATGGACTTCCTGTTTTGCTTCTGGCCCAAGATATGTAACACACCTGTCTCTAGGAGCCTTTCCCTGGTGTCACTGCAATCCTCCTGTCATCAAATATTTGGTGATGATGATTAAGAAGAAATGACGAAAGGAGCACAGTTCAGCCCAAATGATATCAAAAGGGTTACTAAAGGAATTTCTAAGTTTATCTAACTTTATCTAAGTTTCAGATAAAGCTGAGTTCTAAGACATCTAATGTGCTTTATATTCTTCCAAGTTTTTCAAACTTTAAAATTCCCAATCATCTACTAACATCCCAAAAATGAGGTGGTCTTTAGGTGGGAGCAGAAAGGTTATAGGAAAAGAATGCACATCCAGCTGCATTATTTTTCTTGATGTCTCCATCATCTACCCTATTCTTGTCAACTCTTCCTCTACTCCCACTGTCCTAGCCAGGGTAGACAGGGCCATGGACAAAGTAGGTTTCGAATATTCTTGTTTCTGCTGACATCCCACCAAGGAAATGTTCAAGCAACAAAAACAACATCTTGTAAAACAGAGTCAAAAACAAGGATAAATTTTGGCCCAATAAGTAAAACAGTCTGTTGGTATTCTGAGGTCCTGTTACATCTATTACAGGGGATCATCTGAAGGCTCACACAAAGACTAAGGGGAGAAGATTCCTCTCTACCTTCAGGAGAGTAACACACCATGGGTGCCACAAGGATTCACCAAGCAGTGAATATCATATTCATTATTTTTGCTTTGGGCTCCCCTACAAAAATTAGGGGAAAGTTTGGCCCCAATTCTCCCCTGAACTCTAATAAACTCTTTTGCAAGTCTCTGCTCCCTCTGGGCTTATTCTATTCTCTAAGCTTGACGCAGCTTTATTCACATAGACACTTTTTAAATCAGGAAAACACATTCGTTCTTAAATTTCAATACTAATTTATGCTGGATCAGTAATGAAAAATATTAACTTTGTTTTTCTAACTGTGGAACAAAAGGTATATATATACCTGAAGGATAGATAAGGTTTGCTAAAATAAAAGGACAGAGGAAATGTACTGCCCTGAGTCACTCTAATCTAAAGCTAGTATGTATTTTTTTACCTTTGATTTCTAATACAACAGAGAGAAAAGGCACAATTTTAGTCCTACTGTACCTTGTAGCATTGTCCACAATGAGCTCCGACTCTGCTCTATGGTTTGTCCTTAGTTCAATAGCACATTTTCTGGGCTTAAGAGTCTCAAAAAGATCTTGCAGCAAGTTACCAGGTTGAATGCTGGGTAACTGTCTAACATCACCTAAAAGAAAAAAAACATAGCCACAGTAGGTTTTATGTAGCTGGGGTCCTGAAATTTAGAATTTACTTTTATTTCTCCCTACTGCTATATGCTGTAATTATAAAGACTTACTCTAACTGAGGAAAAAAGCCCAAAAAATCTTTGTCTAAAATTACTTAAGAACATTAAGTCTTGGGCCGGCCCCGTGGCCAAGTGGTTAAGTTCACGCGAATGGCTGTGGCGGCCCAGGGTTTTGCCGGTTCGGATCCTGGGTGTGGACATGGCACCAGTCGACAGGCCACACTGAGGTGGCATCCCACATGCCACAACTGGAAGGACCCACAACTAAGATATACAACTATGTACTAGGGAGATTTGGGGTGGAAAAGCAGAAAGAAAAAAAAAGGAAGATTGGCAACAGTTGTTAGTTCAGGTGCCAATCATTTAAAAAAAAAAGAACATTAAGTCTCTTTTTTTTTTTTTTTTGGGGAAGATTAGCCCTGAGCTAACTACTGCCAATCCTCCTCTTTTTGCTGAGGAAGACCGGCCCTGAGCTAACATCTATGCCCACCCTCCTCTACTTTATACATGGGATGCCTACCACAGCATGGCGTGCCAAGTGGTGCCATGTCCACACCTGGGATCGAACAGGCGAACCCCGGGCCGCTGAGAAGCGGAATGTGTGAACTTAACCGCTGGGCCACCGGGCCGGCCCCAAGAACATTAAGTCTTTAAAAATATTTAGCAGGGGCCAGCCCAGTGGCGCAGCAGTTAAGTTTGCACATTCTGCTTCGGTGGCCCGGGATTCACCAGTTCAGATCCTGGGTGTGGACCTAGCACCGCTTGTCAAGCCATGCTGTGGCAGGTGTCCCACATAAAATAGAGGAAAATGGGCATGGATGTTAGCTAAGAGCCAGTCTTCCTCAGCAAAAAGAGGAGGACTGGCAATAGTTAACTCAGGGCTAATCTTCCTCAAAAAAAGAAAAAAACAACCCAAAAAACAAAACAAACAAACAAAATATTTAACAAAAAGAATTCAAATTAAACAATACAAGATACAAAAAAGAGTGATATCACAATAAGGCAAAAATCTGAATTGAACTTCTGTCATACCTATAACCACAGGCAAACTGTGCAGGGGCAAGTGTTTTAGCCAACATGCAAAAAAACAGGCCTTAGATACTTAGTATTTAGTCACTTATTCAATCTTGCTCAATGTCTTACTAAACACGGAAGGATCTATACAAATAAACAAACATATAAATAAATAAACAAACATAAAATAACAATTAGGCAGTGGATAGATAAATTCAAGTAATGTAATAATAACGTTCTGCATTTTACTTTAAACAAACCAACCCTAGAGATAAGGAAAACCATTTTCTGGGTGGAAACTGGGAGAACGCTTAAGCCATTAACAGAATCAACTGCTTATAAAATATCCACAAATAACTTAAAAAAGTTATTTATACACAGTTGGCTGACACTGCAATTCTATTTTTCTCCATTAAATCGTAAAGGCTACAAGAGCACCAGCACCCACGAGAATCTAACAGAATCTCATCAGAATTGGGAAGGACTCCAGAGGCTGCTGAGGTCTAATTTGAGTTATTAGCTTAAAATCATAAAATGACTTTTAAGTGGCCTATAACTCAGACTTCTTACTATTTCCAAATGACCTACATCCTGATTTCCCCTGAGTCTGACATTTTTATTATTTTAATAGTCATCATTTAGGTGATTAGCAGTAACCTCCCAGAACTCTATTTCATTCACATCCTAGCCTGCTTACATCCTGGCCAGAGCAAAAAGCCGCCCAAGTGGCCAAGGAGAGTGGTCAGACTCAGGGCAGCGTCAGCGTGGGCTCCGAGGAACGGCTTCCCACCTTCAGCACACGGATGTGAAAACAGCAAAATGGAATACACAACCGACGAACCACAATGCTGTGAACCAGACAACTGGAGTTCCAACAATATTTTAACTTACCGAGGATAATAAGCTTGGAAAGTCTGGCATGCTCACACAATAATTTTAAAACCGATTTGAAGATTCCTACAGATACCAAACTCCCTTCATCCACAACCAGAACTCTGACAGAAGAAAACTTCCATGGCGTGTCTTGGGCCGTTTTTGTCTTCCATGAATAGAAACTGTAATTGACCTACAAGCAAAGGATGGCATTTCTACATTCAAGTTACAAAACTTAACAAAGGAAATAAATTGAACAACATGTTATTTTAAAACAAAACTCTTAAATGGTGGGCGGGAAATGTAGGTGGAATAACATAGAGAAAAGGCTAAAAAAACAGAGAACACAAAACTTACAGGGGTGAATATACAGAAAAGATAAATACATTGAAAAACAAAGAAAGGTCACATAGCTCAAAAACTGCTTCCTCATGAGTATGTAAGTGTTTTTAACTTAACCAGCTTTGTGCATAGCACCGCCCACTGCAAAAATCTCAACCTTCTCTCGCCACTCTTGAACAGAGAAAACTCCCCATTCTTCAAATAAACCTTCTGTTGGCCTTCTGAGATAACCCAGTCACTGGGGGCCTTCTCTTCTCCCAACTCTAACACTCCATTCTGGAAATAAAGGGATGTCCTCCCAACCTAACTATGAAAATATTACATTTTCTTCTAGAATTACAAACTCACTTACTTCCCCAACATTTAAAAACCACCACCAACAACAACAAAAACCAAACAACTAAAAGAACTATTTAGTACAGAGATAATAATATTTACTATTTAAAAAATATAGATGAGGGAAAAAAATTTGTAAAGTTACAACCAGGGAAGGTTAAATATTTGGTGTATATCATTCCAGAAATGTTTCTATGTTTAAGTGTTTACAACTATGTATATACAGATTTTTTAAATGGGATCACATCTTTACTTAATTTTCCTACTGAAACTAGACTCAACATGTCTATTAAGTAAAAGCCTTCATATTTCACATCCAAATACATCAATTCTCTCCAACAAAACCTTACATTCTCTCAATGGCCTTGTCCCACAATAGGACATTTGGAATCCCCACCAAGTGTTTCCTTTCTTCTATTGTATATATTCAATTACTTATCTTAGAAATGCCTGATTGACAATTTCCACTGTATTTCTAGTGCTACCAACTCAATATAGGCGCCATCTATGAGCTTCTAGATTACTCCAACAGCCTCACAGCCAGGCTCCCCCCACCCCTATAACCCAACATGGGATTGCCAGATAAGATACAGGATATGCAGTTAAATTTGAGTTTCAGAGAGACAACAAAGGACTTTTTAGTATAAGTAGGTTCGATGCAGTATTTGGTATACGCTCAGCAAATCTGCTAAATCTGGTAACCCTGGCACAAGGAGGCTCAGTAAATGGCATAAGTGCCACTTCAGTGCTCTTCCTGTGCCTTACGCTCTCTCCGGAGCCTAAATGTGGCTTTAGAAATGTTTGCCCAGCATCCCAAGCAGATATTGAAATGCAACCGATTTGATCAGATGAAATTGAATCATGCTGCCTCTCTGGCCTCTCCTCTTCTGATTCAGTCCCTCAGGCCAACCAAACATGAAGGCAGAGTGGGGAAAATCACAAGCTGATCAGCAGCCTCTTCCACCAGGGAGCTCAACTGAACTTCTCCAGCTCTGTGTCCATTCACACGACAAATAAAGGCAACGGGCAAAGTAATTTCCGAGATGGCTCTAAGATTCTATGTGATCTTCCTTAAAACTACTTTCTTCATTTCACTCTCTTGCTTAGGAACCTAAACGGCTCCCTAGTAAATCAAGTCCAAGCTTCTTCAAGTTTGCAAGGTCTATAAGTGAAGAAATTACAGCACCGTGAAAAGAGCAACAAGCAAAGAGGTAGAAATCTGAGTTCTGGTGTTAGTTCTGCACCTCAAGATCTCAGGCAAGTCGTGTAACACCCCCAAATTTCAGCTGGCTCTCTGTAAAACTAAGATAACGTCGCTTATTCACATCAAAGATTTAATGAGATGTCAAAACACTTTACAAAATCTAAAGCTCAAATTCCCAGTTGAAACCAAGTTTCCTTCATTTTGCAACACACAGACTTCATTCCAATCAATGCGGTCCCCTCAAACCCTCTCTACACACTATGCTCATTCTCCTCGATGCCTTTCCCCTAAATATAATGCCCTTCTCCTCGCCAGAGCCTCCCTGTCCTGTAGAGTCCAACTCAATTATTCTTTCCTTCAGAAATCTTTTGAAGTTTTTCTCATGTGACTATTTGCCAGGCACTGGTGTAAGGGAAACAGAGAAAGAACTAAACCAGATGATCAAAGTCCTCACCTTCGTTCTACAAAATATAAACCTTTTCCTTCCAATTCCAGTGCTTCTCAAAACAGGGTCTGTGGACAATGACAGGTTTGTAACCTGCCCCCAGGAGAAACAGAGCTTTGCCAGAAACCAAACTGACCACATTATTAAGCACACACTACAGTTTAGCTGACTTTTCTCTGTCAAAATAAGACTCTCTCAACGAAGTGGGCAGCGCACTGCTGTGCTGTCCGGCACTAGCTCGTGTCTCACTGCAGACCAGCAACAGGTTACAGACCCGCTGTTTCAAGGGGCACTGATCTAAATGACAAGCTGCTACACGGCAGGGATCCAGAAAGCATTCAGTAAATACCTACTCATTGTCGTCAGGAAGAAATGAAAAAGAAACTCATAATAAAGTTTGTCTTTAAGGCAAGCGTTTTATCTAGAGGAAAAATGGAAAAGGTTTTACCTGATACAGCGTGTAAGCGCTAAAATCAGTTCTCTGTCTCAGCAGGCCGGCGGCTTTCCCTGTGGGGGCCGTAAGGAGAACTTTTATGGCCTTGTCCGCCTCTGGCTGACGCTGCCCTGGAGAGTTAAGCCATTCTTCTGAGACGTCCTGGTCTCGTTGAAAATCTTCACACACTCTTTCGGCTTCACTTTCTTCCAACAGCTCCACATGCTTAAAAAGGTGGCTCACAATCGTGGTCTTCCCGCAGCCGCCCTTCCCACTCATGACGGTCACAGCATTAGAGCAAATCATTTCCAGAGCAGCCACCTGATCCAGATCCAGCTGAACTTCACTTTCTTCTGCATGAACTTCATGTTCACCATTATCCCCAGTATGGTCACCGCTGTCCTGTGTGTCCAGAATGGCCAGAGAATTTTCTAATCCTGTTTCATCGGCTTTGCTTTCCTTCAAGGTATCGTCACCTCCTGAACTCCCCGCTCCCTTGGTCTGCATAGACCCAAGCAGCTCTCTGACATCGACGTGCAAATGCCACGGAGGCCTGGTCATCAGGTGGCATATGGCAGAGGCAATGCCTCTCTCGGCCTCGTAAAGATCATAAAGAAAGACACAGGCCTTCTCATACGTCACCACGCCGACATCCTTCAGAAACCTCAGAGACTGCCAAGCGTCATCAACAGACATCCGGTCCGACAACAGAGAAGTCAAGTCAGCTTCTTCAACGTACGTGTGCCCGTGCTCCTTACACTGCCGCTTCAGTTCAGAATATATTATCAATCCGTTCTTCTCAAATTTGTTCATCAGCCGGAAGAGAGACTTGCACTGACAAAATGCTGCCCAGCTTGCCTCACATTGCAAAAGCTTCAATTCTCTGAAGGTTATCTTTAAGAAAATAAAGTTCAAGCTGCTTTACAAAAAGTAGGAATGTTGATGAATATTATAAGAATTACAGTAAAAGCTAGGTTGTCAATAATTTTTTAAGTCCCAGAAAACCTACACCTCAACTAAATTTGGAGAAAAACTATGTACCTAATACATCACTGATTTTTTAAATTGTCTAGAGATCTATATAATTTTATAATTAAAATTATAGTTTCTCAAAGCAATACAAATACAGCTTTAAAAGTCAACACTATGAGGCTCTTCACAAAAAAGAGAATCCCCTGCCATTCACCTTCCACAACTTCTAAAGGCAACACCTTCAACACTTTTAGTTATTCCTTCCAGAATTTAGCTTCACATTTCTAAGTACTGTTTACACTACTCCTTGATTTTTTCTTTTTTTTTGAAGATTTTTTTTTTTTCTTTTTCTCCCAAAAGCCCCCTGGTACATAGTGGTGTATTTTCAGTTGTGGGTCCTTCTAGCTGTGGCATGTGGGATGCTGCCTCAGCATGGCCTGATGAGCAGTGCCATGTCTGCACCCAGGATCCGAACCGGCGAAACTCTGGGCCACCTAAGCAGACCGCGTGAATGTAACCACTAGGCCACGGGCCGACCCACTCCTTGATTTTTCCTTAATTTTAGATACGTAGTATTAACTCCCTACTATGGAAAGTCTTTCTCTATGGGAGAGCTCTCTTTTATACCATCACCTCCACAAATGCTTCTTCTCCTCCCACCTTTGAAAACAGTTTAAAGTATACATTTTGTTAACTGATTTTGGTTAAATTGGTGTAGGTAGGACTCAAAGCTGCGCCACACGACGTACCGTCGGTACATCAACTGCGGTGCAGAACTCGCGTGCACCGCGAGGTTAACGACTGCCTGTTTTCCCGGCTTGTCTAGTTTTCCATGTGCCTATCAACAATCCTGCCCAACTCCTACAGAAGAGGAACAGAACTCCTTCACCATCACGCACTCAGTGGGTCATCCACCAGCTCTATTTCTTTTTTTTTTTTCACGGAGTTACCCCTCCCGGAACCCTCCATACATTTTAAGGGCAGAATTGTGTCCCCCTAAAATTCTTATGTTGAAATCCTAGCCGCCAGTACCCCAGAATGTGACCATATTTGGAGACAGGGTCTTTAAAGAGGAGATTAAGTTAAAATGAGGTCATTAGGGTGGGCCCTGATCCAACAGGACTGGGGTCCCTCTAAGAAAAGGAGACTGGGACACGGAAGGAAGGCCATGTGTGGACACAGGGAGAAGACGCCACCTACAAGCTAAGGACGGAGGCCTCCCTCAGAAGACACCAACCCCACCCACGCCGCGATTTCGGACCTGTGGCCTCGGGACCCTGAGAAGACAAGCTCCTGTGGTCCAAGCCACCCAGCTGGTGGTATTCGTTACAGCAGCCTGAGCAAACCAACACGATGCTTTAGGAAAGGACCTGATTCTGGATGACGGTTCACACGCCGACCAGAGGGACTTCAAGACTCCTCTTCCCACTGGAGTCCCAGAATGCCCACTGCTCTGCCTTTCTTCTCTACTAAATACACATCCTAATCTAAGGTTCCAGAATCTTAGTTCTCAAAGCATACTGAAATGGTAGTCATTTTAAATAGGGAACAAAGTCATTAGTCCAGTATTTCCCAAACTGAGGGGGGAGAGGGGGTTCTGTAAACACTGCTGGGGTTCCAAGAATTATCTCAGAAATTTTTAATTGCATCTTCATTTGGGAAACCACATAACCAAGCAGTTCCAAGATCACAGTGCTACACTTGGTTTCCAATACTGCTGGACATGTACTGTATCACTTTACTATGCTCGGTCTCTAATAAGAACAGAAGTGGATGAATTTGTAAATGATATTATTGTGCCAAATAAACAATCAAATGCTACCACGATGTACCATATGAATAATGAAAGTCAGCAAACGTTCAAATAGGAAGGTGGGGGGCTGAGCTGCACAGCACAATGGATCTGCCAAACCCCTAAGAGCTCGTGTCTTCAATGAGCTCTGTATTCAAGTTGCAAATGGCAATTTAGTTACAGAAAAAATTTGCCATATTAAATTATATAACTAAATCATTGATAATTTGAATGTCATTTATTTTGTTATTTTGTTTTCCTTTATAAACCTATTGCATAAGACCTATAGACACAAGCAGTTTATATTTAGCTGTAACACTCAAAGAAAAATAAACCGACATGGAGGTCCATACAAATTTTTTTCCTTTGAAAGAGATGCAAAAGCTGTCAAGCCTGAGAAATCGTGCCTTATATGAGATCAGTGAACGCGAAGCAAACGTCTTACTTACTTTATGAAACCCAAGTTTCCATGGATGTGTTCTTAAAATCTCTTCTATCTTTCCCAGCACCTCTTGAGAACCTGAGCTGATGAGCTGTTTAAAGTGTCGAGGCAGAAGAACTGGGAGGAATTCCATTACCTTTGGAAACTGCAGAGCTCTCATTACATTTATAAACGGGACTACAGGGTATCAGAAAAGAACAAACCAAAATGTACAAATGAGCTCACAGAACAACTGATTGGATGACCTTTCTCGTTTAGCACAACCAGTTCAAGAAATCCAAATCAAAGAGATATTAACAAATTTACTTTAACCAGTAGGAAAAATGATCATATTGTAACAATTTCTTTTGTACTGAGATGGTTTTCATTGTGTTTAATGCCAAAATTTATGTTCTTTAAATGTTTAGATAACTAGTGCTTAGCCTTTTGTTTCCTTTTGCTCGCAAATAATCAGAATAAAAATTTTTTTTTGATTCACCCTGAGCTAACACCTGTTGCCAATCTTTCTCTTCTTTCTTTTTATGAGTTGCCACCATAGCATGGCCACTGACAGACGAGTGGTGTGGTTCCACACCCAGGAACCAAACCCAGGCTGCCAAAGCAGAACGTGCCAAACTTTAACCACTAGGCCCTCAGGGCTAGCCCCAGGATAAAATTTTTGACCCAATGAAATAAAGATAAATTCAAAGTGAAACATAAAAAATAAATCATTTACATATTAGCCTGTGTAATCATTTTTCTGAGTGTAATCATGATTCTTTGGTCACTGAAGTCATTCAATGATGTACTGCCAAACTTATTTGCTATAACTAAGAAATGAAGTATTTCATATATGTGAATGTCCAGATAACAAACCATATTAAAAATGTATTTTGAACCATTTTGGACTAAAACCTTTCCAAAATGGGTTACTGACATTCTTGTCTTTCTCCTCTATCTTCTTAAACAGAAGAATTGACAGCTGAACTTTTTCTTAATGACTCAAGATAATCCTACGGACACAAAGGTCAGAGGGAGATAAAATCACAGTTTTAGAGCTGGAAAGGAACTGAAGGAGCTTAAAGACCACCGCACTCAACCTCTTCACGTTAAAGATGATGAACCTGGAACGTCACTGACACATTCAAAAAGCGATACAAACACGTTTTCATCAACCCGATTTAACAGACAGAATATCATGTCAAGATACGATAGTGCTAATATTTTAAACACATTAGTCATTAAGTATCTCAACGACACTAAAACTTGGTGAAAAAATCACACTTACTTTTGTTTTCCAGAGACAAACTCGTCTCGTTCCCCGGTAACGACTCTTCCCGTTCATTCTGTGTAGACTGTTTTTTATCATTCCTTCCATTTTTGAGGAAAGTTCTAAATGTTTCGTTAAGATTTTCAAAGTTGAGGTCATTAAAGCTTGATACTTCACCTACCCAGTCTAGAAATTTCATTTTAATATCATCGGGGATAGCACACTCTTTAAGAAAGAGCGAACAGATCTGCTTCTGATCTGGTGGCGACATGTCAGACAGCAAAGAGTACGACGGAAATCCTTGAACATGATAGCACTTCCTTGATCCCACCGGCTTCACTTGTAGCTTCACTCGCCACCAAGGACCCATCATTGGAAAACGTCCAAACACTTTACATTGCTCTTGAGTGTTTTCATCCAAAATCATAACTTAAAAAACAAAGTTAATTTCGGATATTTTTAAACTTCTTTCCCAATGCTTTATCAAATCCACCATTTCCTCTAATCTCACCATAGCTCCCTGTATAGATGTCTATTAGGGTGTCTATACTCCACTTACCTCTTTGTCTCCCTCTACTACACTGTGGCCAGCCCTGGTGGTCTAGTGGTTAAGATTTGGGGCTCTCACCACCAACCGTGGCCTGGGTTCCTGTCCCAGTCAGGGAACCATACCACCAGTCTGTCAGCTGTCATACTGTGACAGCTGCATGTTGATGTGATACTGAAAGCTATGCCACCAGGATTTCAATAGTAACCTTCATGAGTTTCTAAAAAAAATGCCATGATCCCTTCCACCACAGGGCCTTTGCATAAGCTGTTCCAGCTGCCTTAAATGTTCTCTTCCTTACTCTTTACCCCATTTAGTACAGACCTCGGCTTAACTGTCACTTCCTCGGGAAAGCCTTCCCTGAATCTTATAACTATAACCTCTCATAGCACTAGTTACTATTCCTTCTAAGCGCTGGGTAATATAGTTACTTCTGTGATCATTTAAAGAATGTTTAACTCACTATCAGGTAATCTCCATTAAGACAGCAACCTCATCATCTTACCTCTCCAGGGTACCCCAGGAATAAACACCTTGCTTGGAACGTGGTAGCCAGTCACTAATACTTTTAGGATAAATGACTAAACGCTCCATAAATACTTGAAAATTAATTAAAGTCAAATAAAATTTAAAATTCAGCTCCTCCGTTGCACTAGCTGCATTTGAAGTTCTCAACAGCCACATGTGGCTGGTGGCTATGGTACCAGACAGTGCAAATATAGAATAAGGCCACCATCACAGAAAATTCCACTGGCCAGCACTGGCCTGAACATTAAAATATTCTTAACTATCAGTCACAATGTACACACAGCTGGCACGATTTACAGCACAGGAAACCACACAAGGTAAATATGGATCATGAGGTTATTAACACAAGTGAACGACACAACAATGACTTGAGGTGTTTCATGCGTGTGTTTTCTAAGTAGCTGAAAAATACTCTGACTTCAGGCAGGACAAGGAAAGAGTTACAAGCCCTGATGCCCAGTGTGAATACACGCTCGGCGTGCACGGTCCCCTCCACTATAAAACGACCTCAAAGAGCTGTGAGATGATACTTGTAGGGCAGAAGCTTAACACACAGCATCAGCTCAAGACCCTGCTGTCGTCATTATTAACATCAGTTTATGCTAAGTAGGACCAACAGAGAGGCCCACCCCAAAGGCAGTCTGTCAGCAGCGGGGGCGCCTCCCTTAAGAGAGACCAGGACAGGAAGGTTTATGGCTCCCGGGACCCCATCACCCACCCCATCCCCCTTCCCATCCCCTGCCCCCATCTCCCGTCCCCATCCCCCATCCCATCCCGCGCCCCCATCTCCGGAACCCATCGCTTGACTCCATCCCCGGACCCCACTCCCAGACCCTAGCCCATCGCCTGCCCCCATCCCCGGACCCGAAGCCCGGGCCCCATCCCATTCTGCACCCCCATCCCCGATCCCATCCCTGGGCCCCATCCTCCATCCCATCCCGTCCTCTGACCCCATCCCCCGACCCCATCCCCGGACCCAACCCCGCACCCCATCACAGGACCCCACCCCCGCACCCATGCCCCGACCCCATTCCCGGACCCCACTCCCGGAGCCTAGCCTATCCCCCAGCCCATCCCCCGCGCCCATCCCCGGACCCCATCCCGGGCCCCAGACCATCCCCAGACCCCAAGCCGGGGCAGGTGGTCGCTCACCGCGCTGGCGCCCCGGGAGGCCACCCGCCCTCAAGCCGCCACTGCACAGCTCCTCGGCGTCCACGAACCCCGGGTCGTCGTCCTCCTCCGCATCCTCCTTCAGGTAGTCGTCGTCCTCCTCCGCCAGGTCCTTGAACGGGAGCAGACGTCCCCGCACTTCGCGCACGGTCCACTGCACGCCAGCCATGGCTGTGTTCTGCGAAACGAAACCCAAACTCTGGAAACCACGCGCCCGGCGCCCGGCCAGCCCCAGCCAATCAGCTCGGCGCCGACGGCCGCCGCTCCCGGGGACGCCCCAGCCGCGGCCCGCGCGCGCCAACCGGGCGGCCAGGCTCCGCCCCCGGGCCCGGGAGGGCGGGGCTGCTCCGGGCGGGTTTCTGCAAAAAAAATAAAAGTAACGATAAACCAGAAATTACTGAAACGGGCTAGAGGACACAGAGATGGAGCAAGATCTCTAAGGTTAACGTTTTCTAACGCTTTGACTTCTGAACCAAAAGAAATAAAAAGCAAAACCTACAATTGGATACAAACAAAAACAAATGAATCTATCAAATGTATAACATAACCTCTCAGGGAAAAAGAACTACTTCGAGTTACTTTTGAATACTTTGAATAAATATTTTAAGTTACTCTGACTATACGCTCTTAGTAGGTTATATTCTGAGGACAAAAAAGCTATAAAGTAATTTTAAACTTCACTCACTATGGTTAATGTGAGCTGTAATATTGGCACTGTCATTTTGAATCATTACGTATTGTAGGATAAAGCAAATAAGTAAATGTATTCCTATTTATCAAATGAAGGTTTTTATGTACATGAAAAGAAATACAAACATTAAAAAAAAGAAGTTAAGAAAAACTCCCAGTATTAAACTTGAAAAGGAAATATCAACATGAGCTTGTGATTTCTTAAAATATACTTTCTAGCTCTGTCTACTGAAAGAGCCTGATAGCAACGTCCCCCCGGGAGCTCTGATCATGTCTGCCACCCTAATCTTGGTTTTGGAACACCATTTCTCTTTAAAAGCGATGGAGGCTTCTTGAGAAATAGCTGATCCCACCTCTGGGACAGGGAAAGCGCCAGGTGAGTCTGGGACTTCTTATTCCCCAAGGCAAGGAAGCACTCAAAAACGAATGGCGTTGTGATAGAAGGAGTCAGGAGCCAGCTTGAAGGGCTTCCCCCTAGCCGAATTTAGGGAGATTCCGGTGTCAAAAAGAATAGTGACTGCAGTCAACTGTAACTCACTGAGTAAATAGAAACTGATGTGTCTACTGTGATACTCACTGAAAAAAAAGATTTAAAGGAAGAAAGAAAAAAATAGGAAAGGAAGAATAGACTATCAGTTAAGAAATTTAAGAATAAAACTGTGAAAATATAAAACACTACTTTGTAACCCCCAGTGTAATAACTGATTCAAGTGAGGACCACCCAAGGATCCTGAGACCTCAAGTGAGAGGTCATTGGGAAAACGATAGTCTCAGAGCTAGAAAGACTACAGATCGCAAGGGGAAAATGTACCTTTAAAATGGGGATAGTTGGGGGCCGGCCCCGTGGCCGAGTGGTTAAGTTCGTGCGCTCCGCTGCAGGCGGCCCAGTGTTTCGTCAGTTCGAATCCTGGGCGCGGACATGGCACTGCTCATCAAACCACGCTGAGGCGGCGTCCCACATAACACAACTAGAAGGACCCACAACTAAGAATATACAACTATGGAGGCTGGCCCCGTGGCCGAGTGGTTAGGTTCGCGCGCTCCGCTGCAGGCGACCCAGTGTTTCGTTGGTTCGAGTCCTGGGCGCGGACATGGCACTACTCATCAGACCACGCTGAGGCAGCGTCCCACATGCCACAACTAGAAGAACCCACAACAAAGAATACACAACTATGTACCCGGGGGCTTTGGGGAGAAAAAGGAAAAAATAAAATCTAAAAAAAATAAAAATAAAAAAAAATGGAGATAGTTGTCAGTCACCCCTTATTCAGGTTATCAAACTTAGCGTCATTAATGGGACAAACTGATGTTGTATGTCTCGTGCAATATGATGTACATAAGATCAGTACGAAGTATTCTTGCCAAAAATACTTAACCTGATTTTAATCCAGGCTCCAGGCCAGCATTGTCCAATGGAAATATAATGAGAACCACACAGGTAATTTAAAAGTTTCTATGGGCCGTCCCGTGGCCAAGTGGTTAAGTTCACACACTCTGCTTGGGCAGCCCCGGGTTTCAATGGTTCGGATCCTGGGCGCGGACATGGCGCCACTTGTCAGGCCGTGCTGAGGCGGCATCCCACATGCCACAACTAGAAGGACCCACAACTAAAACATACAACTATGTATACCGGGGGGCTTTGGGGAGAAAAAGGAAAAAATAAAACCTTAAAAAAAAAAAGTTTCCAGTAGCCACACTTAAAAAAAAGAAACAGGTCATATGAATTTTAGTGATACATTTTATTTAATCCAATATATCCAAAATATTATTATTTCAACATGGCAATCAATATAAAAATTATTAATGAAATATTTTCATGCTTGTTTTCATCCTGAGTCTCTGAAATGGGGGGTGTGTTTTATCTTTACAGCACACTTTAATTTGAACTCGCCATGTTTCAAGTGCCAATAACCACATGTGGCTGGGGACCACCAAACTGGCCAGCACAGTTCTAGACCCAATTTCCAGTTTTCCCAAAATCCAAGGAATTAGGAACAAACTAAATAATACCATGAGGAAACAGAAAGATCTAGAACAGAGGTCAGAAAACTATTTTGGGGGCCAGGCCAGTGGCATAGTGGTTAAGGTTGTGTGCTCGGCTTCAGCAGCCCAGGGCTCGCAGGTTCAGATCCCAGGCACAGACCCATACACCGCTCATCAAGCTATGCTGTGGTGGCATCCCACATACAAAATAGAGGGAGATTGGCACAGATGTTAGCTCAGGGCCAATCTTCCTCACCAAAACAAAAAAAAAAAAGGAAAGAAAGAAAGAAAAAGAAAACTTCTTTTGTAAAGGGCCAGATAGTAAATATTTTGGGTGTTGCAGGCATAATTCCCCCTCCTCCTCCACTTTCTCCTCCTCCTCTTCCTCCTTCTCCTCCTCTTTTTCCTTTTTATTCTTTTTCTCCTTTTAATAATCCTTTAAAAATGCAAAAACTATTCTTAGCTCTAGGGTTGTGTAAAAACAAGCCACAATTTGCCCACACCTAATCTAGTATGTGGGTCATTTGACAGGACAACTAACTTGGATTTTTCCAAAAAGTCAATGTCATGGGAACAAAGGGCAGGAAGGAACAAAGGGGGTCCAGGATGGACAGAGTCTGGAGTTAAGAGCGTGAGGAGCGGGTATGAGCTGAGGCTGGAGAGAGAAGCAGGTGGAGCCAGGACTCACAGTGATTCGGAAGGCCACAGTAAGGTCACTGAGAAGCCACTGAAGGTTTTAAACACAGGCTTAACCGTTTTTTTTCTGAAAGCGTGATTGTTCATCTCACATAAACCAGGCTCTCATTTCAATGTTCACTTGAAACCTATCTAGGAAATGCTTTTTAAATAAATCAATTAATCTGAATCATGAAGCAAAGAATTTCAGTATATCATTCATATTGCTTCTCACACAGAAAGTTTTTTTCCTATGTTACATATAATGTGTTTTCTGGTTATTTGAAATACATTTGTTTCAGCACGCCTGGAGGTATCAGGGCGGGTGACACACTGTGAAGTTATCATTAGTAAAACCTACACATTTTATTGGGAGAGCAGGGAGGGAATGAGGTTTTGTGGCCCGTGTAATCAATGTGATGAGGTAAAGCACACAATTAAGGTGTAGTCGAGATAATGATGGTTTCGCAGTTACATGAAAGCACTTCAAATTAATTTATCCTGATGAATGTTTAAATTAGCATTCTGTCTGTTTTGTTGTTAAAGTGGGATCCAAAAGGGAATGGCAGAATTAAGACAAGAAGTGTTAAATAATAGGATTACTAAAGAGATTGGTAATTACATACAGAGCAGAAATTATACTAAAAATGTGTTAGCTTTCATTCAGTCGACAGATATGCATATGTGTGGCAGGTAGTACTGTTGTCCCCTGATACCTGGCTCCCCTCTCCTTCTGGGCGCACAGTAGGACTGTAGCTACTTGAAGTGAGTCTTGGCCACCTCACTTGATTTGGCCAATGAAACAAAGGTAACACGTCACTTCAGGGTGGAAGCGCTTAATTTCAGGCGCTCACCTCCCCACTCCAGTTGCTCTTTGCCTTGGTGACTGTGGGAACGTGAGGTGCAACAATGAGCCATTGGATAATGGACAACTGCCCTGGAGAGTTACCTTGACCTGCAGGAGGCTTTGAATAAATGAAAATAAATCTTTGTTGCGTTAACCCACGAAGACCATGGAGTTGTCTCCCATGTCAACAGAACCTAGCCGATCCTTCCTGACACAATACGGATCGTGCATTAGACGGTTGTGTTTGGTGGGTACAGCGAGAGACATAAGGAAGCAGTAATGGCCCTTGCCAACAAGTTTCTGTAATTTAATTAAAATATGTAGATTGGGAGTTAATGGAACAAGGGAATGGAAAATTGCACTGGAGGCCTGATTCAGAGGACCTTTGAATGCCAAAACACTGCGATAGCATTATGGGGTTCCAAAATGGATTTAAGGAGGCATAGAGCGCTACCCACAAAGAGCTGACATCTGGTTCCATAATTCTCTAACCAGGAATCCAGACTCCTGGTAGGCAGATGGTGATACACCAGAAAGGGATGAAAAGACTCAAGAGAAAAGGCTTTTTGGAGTATGCAATTGATTCATATTATGTTATTTAATACATTCTTTTTATATTTAAAAAAATAAAGATATATTAAATAGAATGAAAAATTGGCATATATTTTTAAGGCAAAAGATCAAACTTAAAAGTAATTTCACCTTTGGGAGGACAGGTTGAGCAATACCTGAAGACCCCAGGAGGCATTTATGTCTCTTCTGTGCCGTGGGCACTTCAGTGGAAATGTTGATGTAATTAGTCGACACTGATGCTACGCCCTGGTCTCTAAATGTTACACTCAAAGGAGCGGCCCCAGTCACCTTGACTGCCGTTCAATTTAGTTTGCATTATTACATAAGTTTTTACTCAAGCTAAAATATTTATAAGATTGAATCCATGCCCTTATATTTCTGTTTCAGTATATGAGTTTTTAAGTCATAGG